AAAAACCCCTCTCAAGAAAATAATTGAGGAAGGTGGCTATTCTCCTTAATCAATCTTCAGTATTGATGAAATGGGTCTTGATTGAAAGAGGATGCCTGAGCAGACTTACATTTCCTGAGAGGAGAAGACAGCACCTGGATTTAAAGCCGCTAAAGACCACCTAACCTTTCCTCTGGATGGTAATGCGTCTGGAGACATGAAGATGAAACTACTGGCAGTGTACCAATGTAGAACACCAAACGCTCTCAAGGGATTTTCAAAGGAACATCTTCCAGTCATTTGGAGATCCAATAAGAAGGCCTGGATACATGGAGCTTCTTTTTCAGAATGGTTGATTCTGTGCCATCCCTACATGGAACGAATACTGTGCCTAGGAAAATCTTGATTTCAAGATGTTACTGCTTATTGATAATGCACTGGCTCATCCAGTCAACCTGGACAACCTGTGTGAAAATGTCAAAGTTGTCTTTCTCCCACCTCACACCAAATCACTCATCCAATCCATGAGCCAAGGAGCCATTACTGTATTTAAGGTGTCTTATTTATGCTGTACTTTTGACCAGCTCATCAAAGGCACCAATGGTGAAGGCATACCCTCAAATAAGCAATTTTGGTGGTGTGATGATATCCTGAAGTTCATCAATAACATTGATGAGCCTTGTACTGAAGTTACACAGGCATGTATGAATGGGGTGAGGTGGTGTCAGGGGGAAGTTGTGGCCTGGATGTGTCAATGATTTATATTAGGATTAAAAGATACTGTTCCTGCTATGAAGATATATTTGGCTTGGCCAAGAAAGTGGGTTTTGATGAGGTGGAAGAAACAGATGTTGCATAACTTCTGGAGTCACACGGAGAAGAGCTAACCAATGAGTATCTGAGACAACTATAGGTAATGAGAGCAATGGAAGAAAACCAAAAAGTAAAAGAACCACCTAACCATTGAAATTTGACTGCCAGTGTTTTTCTGAGGCTTTCCAAATGATTGACACCATCTTGCAAATTCTTAGCGATGACGATCCTAACAGGGAACACAACTCCAAAGTGATTAGGGGAGTTGGTCATCTAATGACTTGCTATAAAGAAATTTACTAAGGAAAGCAAAACAATCTCAAGAGGAGCAGCCAGGAGACCCACTGTCTTCTACCCTCTGACTCTACCACCTCAACCGAGTTTCACAATCATCATTGGAGAGTATAGTATTACAATGCTTGTTAAAACTGTTTAAAACTTATATCTCTATTAAAATGCTTGTTTAAAGTCAATTACAACTTATATTATTTATGATATAATGGCTTTTGTCTGGTAACAAAAAATTTTGTTGGAACCTAACCTCTCCTCCATTTACATTAAGTCCTGTGGAAAAATTAGATTTGTTTAACATAATTTCACTGTCACTTTTTTTAGGAACGCAACTATAGCATTAAGAGTGGAGTTACTGTATTATGAATTAGTTTTAATAGATGTGTGTCAAGAGAGAGAACTGTGTGTTTTACCTGCCCTAATTTTTCTTGGTTCAATCAAGTCAGATAATCTATCATTTCATCATCACTAGAATCATACACACAAAGATAATAAGACTGACAGCTATGTAAATAGACGTTATAGTTAAATACTTGAAGATATTTGTATTGTATCATAGAGAATTTATATGAAAAAATCAGGTTATTTTGCCGATATTTTCTGGCATTTACTTTTTATTGCAGGTTGCACCTCTGAAATCTAGCACTCTCTGGTACAGCAGGATCACGGGATGCTCCTGGACCAGAGAGCCTACGAGCCTAATGGCGAGAGGTCCAGCAGCCCGGCTAGGGCTGGAAGCAGTGGGACCAGAGGAACCCCATAGAAGTGCTAGGACCAGGGCCATAGAACCCCGTCTGGCATCCTGTGGCAGTGTGGGGCCGGGGAACCCCAGCTGCTTTCAGTAGCATGGGGTTGGGGGCCAAAGATGCCCAACAGCATTTAGCAGTGTGGGGCCAGGGAACCTTAGCCTCCCGCACAGAGGGGGCCAATGGCAAAGACGCCAAGCCACCCGCAGCAGCGTGGAGCCAGAGTCTAGAGAACCCCAGCCACCTGTGGCAGTGTGGAACTGGGGAAACCTGTCCATCCGCAGCAGCACGAGGCCAGTGCCATGGGCTGGAGAATTCTGGTTGCCCATGGCAGCCCAGAGGTGGGAGGCCACGGCTCGGGGCAGGTAGCAAGGGACACCTTCTCTGGGTCCTGCAAATTCTACCATTTGGGACTAGTCAGGTCCTGACAGTGACAAACCAGGGAAGTCCAACCGGTATTGCAAACCTGTCAAAACTATTTTCCTCGCTATCCTGTGCTGCTTAATGCTTCAACAAAAATATGTTTCTCTTTAAATCTGAGCATAACAAATTGTGTTATACTTCGATTAAGAGGAAAATATGAAGTGGTAGCCCTTATTTCTGTTTGTTTGGGGAAAAAGAGAAGGAAAACCTGATCTTATAAACAGTGATTGACCTTAAGTATAAAGTATATTTAAAGTAATGCTAGTATAAAAGGTCCCCTTTGAATATTCAGCTAAGCGTTCTTGTAATAATAACCGCATAGCAGTGAGTCCTGCACTATTTCAGTTATATCATTTATTTTGATGACTGTGAAATGTTACCATGATCAAATATCTTGGAACAATGTAGGTTTATGGTTTGTGGAATGAAGTCTTATGTTCCCATTATGAATTTTTCACTCAAGCCAAATGCATTTGCTCCTCAAGCATGGATCGCTCAAGTTGTACCAATGTGTCAAAGTCCTAGACACATCCCAAACACCTCAGGGTAAATAACACATAATTTAGAATAAGGTGGAGTTTTTTCATAAAAATAATTTTGTTATAAAATAATTTCTTCGGGAAGGTAGCTAGCCAAAAGGCTATTATAATGAAGCTGTATTTTGAAAGTTGTAAAAATACTCCAATATTTGTTAAGAAACATCTATTTTAACCATTTTAAAAGCATCCCGCCTTCCTATTGTAAACATATGGTTTGTGCAAGGTATAATATATTTTGTACTACTGTAGATTGATGACAGCTTGAAAAATATTTAAAAACATCAAAAGTCTGTTTATCTGAATGATAATTTCTTATTTTAAAATGGTAACACTCCCATTTTATGGCCTTTCCACATAAAGCCCCAAATCTGCAAACATTTATGCAAATAAGTAGCTCTATTGAATTCAGTGGGACTGCTTGCAGACATGTTCATTTATAGAATCAAGGCCTAAGGTTAAAATCAAACTAGTAAGGAATGTATATAATCAAGGTTTTTATAGGATGGTTTCTCTGTAGGTGGACAAGTCTTTTATTTTTGTAAACACTGAACTATTTTACCCAAAATGGGATATATATATAATACCGTGTAGGTAAATGTGGTACTTTGGGCAAAAATCATTGTCTAATAGTTCAAGAAACCATGTTAATTTCATGATAGCAATAACCAGGTTCAGGCATAGCTGTTGCTTACATGATTTGAAAGTGAGGCCAGAGATGCCTATGCAAACTAACTGTCAGAACATGTCATGACAGGGTTGTCAAGGCTTTATCCTGGTTACAGAACGCACTTAAGATCCTGTCTAAGCTATGTTTTAGGAACAATGTTGTAACCAGCCTTTAGTGTGACAGCCAGCAATTTTGCCTTCATTTTTTAGATTCAGATATTGTAGATACATTTTGTGGTGGCACAATCTGTAGCCCACTCTATGGGGGAAATAGGAGGTTTGGTATAGGGAAAGCGATGACATTTATTTACAATGAGTGCAGATTTCTCTATGGTAGATTCCTGTAAGAATGTATCATGTGGCATCTAAACATTAAAAGGTCACTGGTTTCTTTTCTTTAACCATCTTTTGAAGCAGATCTCAAATTATCTTATTACTTCTTTTCAAGACTCAAATAATCTGTCAAACTTTTAAAAACTACTGTGGCCATCAGATCATTGTTATTAAAAGGATCAGACTTTTTTCATCCTTCAAGACAAGTACAGGCAGACAGGCAGTCCCTGGGTTACGTACAAGATAGGGACTGTCGGTTTGTTCTTAAGTTGAATTTGTATGTAAGTCGGAACTGGTACATATTGTAGGGGAAACTCTAGCCAAACATTTCTCCAGAGCTCAGTTTTATTCTCCCACACCTCACTTCCCTCGGTCCTTTATTCTCAAGCTGAGGTGTCTGCTGAGAAAAGCCGCTCTGCGTCTCCCTGGTCTGCTGGGGGGAAGCAGCTAGTGCGGGGTTGCCTCACCCCGTTTGTAAGTAGGGATCTGATGTAAGTCGGATCCATGTAACCCGGGGACTGCCTGTATAAGTAAAGAGAATGGAAATATTATTAGATTGTATCCCTTTTGAACTAGAAATCACTTGCTAATATAGTTATTCCAATAGCTAAAACTAAGTGAGAAAAAAGTTAATGTTCCAAGTAACTCTTAATAATACTGCTATAGTCTTTGAGTAATTCTTATTAAAAATAAATGCACTCCAGGAATGTTCCAATTGTTTGAAATGTATTTAGTGACTTGTGTATGTTACTTCTGGTTCAGTAGGAAACCCTATTAAAGTATGAAAAAATTAGTTTAACTATAAACTTGGGGGCTCACGTTACTTGGTTCTGATAGCTATACTTTTCTTAACTATAGCAAGACGTCATATGAGCATATTTTTAAGTATGATATCTGTAGCTTGGGAAAGTGGAAGTATTTTTATAATTTTATTAAGAACAAATCATTACTGTAGGAGAGAGCTGTAAGTAATAGACACTTTCATTGTTTCACTGTAACAGAAGTTCTCAGAATTTATTTTAACTCAGTTTCTGTTTTATATAATGCAAACTGCAGTTTCAACTTTCTCCATGTCAGTATTTCCTGTTATTCATTCAGTTTAATGTGTAGTAGCATTAATTGCTTTATTGCTGCAATGACCTTCAGCATAAATTAAATTTAAAGCTGTTGTGAACTGTGAAATATTGATTAGTGGTCTTTTTCTTTCCAGTAGATGGAGAAAAGAAGAATCAAGTGATGGTTCATGGAATTGAGCCATTGCTTGAGACACCAGTCCAGTGGCTAAGTGAACATATGAGCTATCCTGATAATTTTCTTCACATTAGTATTATTCCTCAACCTACAGATTGAAGAATCAACTGTATCAGATATAAGGATTATCCTCAGGCTGGATTTACCAGGGCATGTCAACCTTTTTCTTGTGTCAGGCGTGGTGGAGGCAACCTGACCAGAAAAACCTCACTGCTTCAAGCCAAACAGGAAAAAAAGATCCCATCACTAGATAAGGACAATTGGGCTGGTCTTAGTTTGCATCACCACTGCTTTTCTCCACTGCCGTCATTAAACTTCAGTTGTGACATGAAAGACTTTACAGGACCATTGAAAGTCTGCTGTTCTCTTGTAAAATATAATGAAGCTGAAACTATTAGCCTGAAGAGCAAATGGAAATATGTGCCACTTGATTTGTATTTCTGATTAACAAATAAACAAGGGTTTTTCCTAACATGACAATGTTTCAGCTTTGGTTAGAGTGGAAACATTGGTTTAATTTTTTTAGAAAATTAGACATCAGGAGAAATAATATTAATAACTTCTAGTAACTTTTTGTAAAAGATCAAATTAAAGTAATCCATCTTAATAGGAATGTCATATGTTTACAGTATGTTAATTGGTATGAAAACTGTCTTTAACTTTGATAACAAGCAGTGAGAATTTTTTAAATAAAACCTCTGCGCATATTTTGCCATTTAAAAGCATTCACAACTTAGTCACAAGTGTTTTTGATTTATATGCAGTTGGTCCCTGAATATACCCTGGTGTATGTATGTTTATCATTCAAACTACTCTTCAGTAGAATAGTAATGGTGTAGGATAATTTGCCCAGATCTGTTGTGGCATTCTTCTGATAATTTAAAAATGTTTAAGAATGTTGCAGATTCTCATACCATTCTCTGTATTCCCATAGGCTTTAAATTGTTTAAATCATAATATTATAAAGACATTTTGAATATTGGAAAATTCAACTTTTTCTGAACTAGTTCTCATGGTGAATTCAATTTCCTGATGTGGTCCGAGGGCAATCAGCACATAAGATAAAATTTTTTTTTATTTTATTGCAATAGATTTTGCTTAATTTACCAAATAGGCTACTAGAACTCATGCTCCAATTTTTTAAAATGTTTATTGCATTTCATCATTGAAGTTGCTACTGTAATCCTGCCTTTTTTCAATTTTATTTTCTGTTGCATTCAACGTGTGATGAACCTGGCTCTGTCTGCCATTCTTGAATGCAGCAGACAAGAGGACAGTATGTTCTAAGCATATTGTTATATAAATATTTTCATAAAGATACAAGTACCCATGACAGCATATGATCCTATATATTTTTGTTAGTCTCTAAGATGCCACAGGACTACTTGTTGTTTTTAAAATTACAGACTAACCTGGTTATCCATCTGAGACTTTTTTCCCATAAAGAAACAGTTATTTTCTCAGAAGAGAGAGAAGATTTGAAGGTATTACTGAAATTTTGACTTGCAAATGTCCATACTGCTCTTCACCCTTTCCCTCCTTCCCTTTGTGGGAGCATTTACCTATATATGAGGGAATAAACCAAACTCCTACACAAAGAGAGAAGAGAAACAATGACCTGAAGTGAAGATGAGGACAGAAAAACTATAAAACACTAAAGGAATAGTCAGTATGACCAAGAGTAAAATAGAAGCAAACAGGAGTTTGTATAACTCTGTATATAAATGAGGAAATATAATTAAGGAAAGTCAAGGAGGGAAAGGAAAGTGAAATAACTACATTCTTAATCTGTGGATTTGTAAGGATTTAAAATACTGAAAAAATATGTTGACCTGTGTTTTATTCTGAATGAATATATAGTTCACTTATGGGTGGATAAAAATAATAAATGGTATTAAATCACTACCGATGGTTATACTAGGCATATAATAGGTTAACCGGTTACCTGGCAAGCAATAGGCTTATCTGCCTGGTTTCCCCAGTAACCAGTTAACTGGCCTGGCTGGAGCAGGCCCCTGCCCACAACTATGGCAGGCTGGGTGGAAGCAGCCCGACAGCTGTGGCAGGCCTGACTATCTGGACTCCACCCACGGCCCCAGAAGGCGGGAGCAACCCCATGTCCGCAATGGGCAGGGCCACAGCAGTCCCCCACCTGTAGTGGAGGTGAGCCAGAGCAGGCTTCCAGTAACAGCCAGCCAAGCTGGAGCATCTGCCCATCCGTGATGCTGTGGTTAACCAGTTAAACATTGTTTAACCTCTTAACTATTTTAGTGTTTTTTTTTTACATCCCTAGTTTATACATGTTTTGTTTATATGACACCAACATTTTAAATATCTCGCTCTCTTCTTATTCACTAGTAAGTCAGGCCTCTAAAAGCTGTTATGGAATACAAAATAATTTGTTTGTCTTTGATATGTTGTTTCTTTTCATTTTAACTATTTCAACTTTACAGTTTATTAAAAATTAAAATAAAGTTTGAGTCTCTTTATTTTTCAGTAAAGTTAATTGTATTTAAAAAGGTTTGAGATTATAGGATAAAAGGGGAAAGACATTTGCAAGTGTAGCACATGTGGTTTAGTTGTCTTATTACATATAGTACTGGTGAAGTCATATATGAAACAAAAGATTTATATCACAAGAATGAAAGAGATATTTTATCTTCGTCTAAATACGGGAGTGTTTCTGAAAGATTTTTATGTCCATTGTATTTGTATCTGAATATTGTCAGATCTGATATGAACAGAAAAATGTATTGAAGTCTAATTAGGGATGTGAACGTGTACCTGTTTACATGATTAACCAATGATCCTGGGCTCATCGATTAATCCTAATGGTTACATGCAATGCCCCTTCCTCCCCCCCGCCCCCAGCTGCCTCTGTATCAGAAGGGAGGGAGGGAGGGAAGTGGGAGCTGGTGCATATGGAGTGCTGGCTTTTAAGCCTGTTCCCATAGAGCCACCTGCTTCTCTCCCCACACTGCCTCCTGGCTGGTCCCCGGGTGTAAACATGTAGCTGCTGTAAAATTCAGCAATTATATGTTTACAAAAATAAACACATTTTAACATCCCTAGGTCTAATTTAAGTGTTGCTTTTATAACTCTTCAGAAAACAAACTCACTCTAAACTAGTTAAAATCACAAGTAGTATTTCTATTCTTCCCATAATGTATGTAGTCTATTCACAAAATGAATTCTTAGGGCTTGTGAAAAGTGCCATTTCCACAGGTACCCTTAGAAACTTGAGGGCTGGTTTACACTAATCTAAGACAAATAGTTACGCTAGTCCAGTTACAATACTGGATATGGAGTATAAATGTGGACAGGAGAGCCCTCCCATTAACTTATCATGCCTTCACAAGACCCACTAAATCAACACTGCTACATCTATGGCAGTGGTGCCGATTTAGCCGGCAGTGTATCTGCAGCACAGGTAAAGCATGTTAAATTGTACTGGACACTGCTTTATTCATGAGCTGTATTTGTCTTTTTCTGTGGTGACCACCACCAGGGTACTAATTGTAATATGGATGCCCATCCACTAAGTACTAGACACAGTGTGTTTCACTTTAGTTGACAGTTTAATAGTAAATACACTTGATCACAACTCACTGTGGTGTTTTATAAACTGTATGATGGATACAGTCTTAACTTTCTTCTGTTCACATCTTTTGGTGTGACAGCCATGAAACTAATTTTCATGCTGCAGGCCTGTCATTTTCATAATTAGCAAAATAAACCAAGTTTTGTAAGTGTAAATCTGTTTGACACTCATTTATGGACACCTGCTAACGCTAAAAATTGAACCCTGAGTCATAAAACAAATTCTTCCCACAAAAAATAGCATTTGGTGTAAAACAACCTGGGTGTCAATGAATATACAAACTGAATTTGAGGACTGATAATAAAAAGACTAAAAAAAATGATTGTGAATATTATCACAGATACTTTTCAAAATAACATGCAATAATTATTTAAGCACGTCGAACATTATGCAATTACTACTATTGAAATTCATACAGAATTAGCAGTAAAAAGGTTGAAATTTAACAGTAAAAAGGATGACATTTGACAGCAGACTTGAATATTGGGTTCAGGGTTTTTTTAAATATCAGTATTACCTACCTCTCCCTATCTGAGTACAAATTAAGGCCCTGATCCTGTAACATGCTGCCCCTTACTGAGGTGAGACTGCAAGGTCACTACCAGGCCCCATCAAAATTAACCTTCAAATATTGTGATTTTAGCAACAAAGGCAGCAACTTCCACATACTATTGCTTTAAGGGTGTCTGCAGCAACGGCAGTAAAGTAGATCAAATAGCAGCTCGTTTATGACATTTCATGTAAATATCCTTAAGAGGAACCAGGCATCAGTAATGACTTTAAAAAAAAATCGCTACAGATGCATTTCAGTTTTCCTAATCTCCACTGCTATGCTATTAGATATTTGTCTTAGACATTGATGTCTCAGGTGGTACTGCGATAATTGGGAGACCAGGAGGAAAGAAAAGAAGTAAATTTGTAGCAAAACAAAAGGGGTATATTTGCACTTCACACTTGTGTCTGCTGCTAGTTACTGAACATCTTCGGGGTTTCTTGCGCAAGAAACCCTTTTTACCATCCACACTGCCTTCTTGCACAAGAGCTCTGCACAAGAAGCTCTGTTTTCTGACGCTTTACTGTAAATTTATTTGCGCAAGAACACGCGTGCAGTGTAAACGCTCTGCAAATTTTTGCACAAGAACACTTGCGCAAAAAGACTGCAGTGTAGATGTAGCCTTACTGATATATCCCACAAATCTTACTGAATTAAGTGGGATTACTTGTGTTTAGGTATTTGCGGGATCAGAACCTAAAATTAATTGATTTATTTGTTACAAAGTTTGAGATGAAGACAGACTAGTTTACACTATTTGTGATACTAAAAGTTTCATTTATAAGTAATTATTAGACTGAGGTGTCCAAGAGATCAAAATGATTTTCTACTTATAAATATGGAGAAATACTGCAGTTGCTTACATATCAGTTTTGACTTTTCCGTACATACCATTTTATTTCTCCAATATGGGGGGGGAGAGAAAATTGGGCTTCTACCATTGCTTAAAAGGAGGTCTTTTTGTGGTAGCTTCATAAATGACTCTTCCCCAGTCACTGACTGACCATGTGCTCCAGAAACTAAGCTTTCATGTTATTTTTAAATTAAATACTGGCTCCGTTGAAGTCCAATAGAATTTTGTTGTTGACTTCCACATTTCTCTGTGCCTCTACGAAAACAGGAAACTTAGAAAATAACTGAAATATAAGTTGCTCCTGTTCCTCTCAATGGATTATTTGTCATCATCAGGTTTTCATAGTTAAATTTTAGTATTCATAACTGTTAGTAATGATCAAAGGATGTAAGAAAGGACAATTATATTATGACAATTGTGCAGTCCACAATGAATGACAATTTGTTTTCATGTTAAATGTGGTTGAAATGTGAGTTGTAAGTGGAACATTGTAGTGTGCCACCTTTGTTTTCAGTCTCCTTTATTGAAAATGTAATAGTATTAAATGTCTATATCAAGGTGAATATGTATCTTTAAGTAGCCAATTTGGAGTTCAAGATGTAATAACACATTTGTTTCAAATTTCTTTTTAACTATACAACTTTCTCAAATATCTTTTGTTTCAAAATATCTCATGATATTTGAAGGATAGAAATGAACATTTTGGAAAGTCCTCTCAACTTCTTCCAGCCATTGAGTTACCAACTCCTGGATATTTAGGGCAGGAAAGATATTCAAAAATTCATCATGACGTTATCTCAAGTCCAGAAAAAGTATATGAAAAAGATTTTAAAACATTGTGTTTGTCATGAACAGATTTCTAAATGAAGGCGTATAAGTTAGGTGCCCTTTAGTGAGTGAAGAGTTTTGGTTTTGAAATAATGCTACTGACATATTTTAAAATTATGGACTAAACATTTTTAGAGAGATGCACAAGGATATGAAGAGTCAAATGCTCATAAGTGATTTTTGAATTTCCATCGCTATGCGTGAATGTCGCATTACAATCTATGAAAAAGCAAGAGGATTTCAAAACTATCATATAAGCATATGTATTATTCCCTTATATTTTCTCTTTGAAAAGTTTTCTATCCACTTTGAAAACCTCAAGACTCACTTTGATAAAAGATCAACAAAGACAGTAAAATAGTGACTTTTTTGAGTTAGTAACATGACCAGTTTAATGCATTTAAATAATACATTTATTTAATACAGTATTCAGATTGCTTGGGTAACATATATTTGGTAATGGCAATCGAGATAAGATGAAGAGAATAGAAGAGGGAAGCAATGTGTTAGAAAAGGAAGTTTGACTAGGGAAATCTTGATTGCAATTTGTTTGATTCTACTAAAGTAATATATAATAGTATTACAAAAGTATTTTGTAATCACTTAATTCATCCTCAGATTATCTCTATAAAACAGGTAAGTGAGTATAATCAAGTAAATAAGTCATTTTGGGGGTGAATGTATGAGTTAGTGTTTAATAAACATTTTCTCATACCCTGTAATATCTGTTGCCAGCAGTGAGAAGAGTGAAGCTAACAATCAAATTCTGTATTGTAACTATATGTTTTGGACATCCTTAACATATTTTGACTGATTCTGAGGTTTCTTTAATTATAAGTTTGGCACATTCCACACACATTTTATATTTTATGAAAGAAAAATATGGAACCTTAAAACTAGAACTGGGTTGAAAATTTATAATTTCTTTTGGAAATTCTTCATCAAATGCTAAATATTTTGAGGGGCTATGACTTGTTTGATTTAAAATAATTCAGAGGTGAAATGTGTTTAAATTTCCTCATTTTATTTAGTTTTTTTGTCCTTTGTTTCATTTTGAATGATATATATTATAAAACAGATGAAAACTACCATGTGATGGGCAATGATTTTTGATGGAAGGGTCCCTTCAAGATTTTGATATGTTGTCAGGGTGCATCCTCACTTTTCTATAGAGGCCGTGATTGGGCAGCACGCAAAGTCTCCCCCTTCCCCTCTGCCAGGGGCATATGGCACCTAGAGGGAGCCACCAGCCATTTTGAGAATCCTCATTTTGCAGCAGAGTCCATCAGTGTGGGCTGTGGAATGGAACCAAAGGTTTGGCAGGCTACGTCTGGCACACGTCTTACTCACTTCTGATACAGTGATGGTAATGTCCAAAATACTATAAAGTAGAGATATTAAATAGGGTGTAATTGAATAGTTGTGTAACTGCATCACATTTTAGCAGTTACGGGACTACTTTTGATCATCCCCAGGAGTGGGGCCAGCAGTCCTCCCTGCTCCACTTCTGGGGAGCCCCCTGCTACACTGCACTGCTGCCTCTGTATCAGTTTAAAAAACAGTTCCCTGCGCAGCCTGGTTCCGCCTGATGCCCCTGTATCACCCCTGTCCATGTTGGTTCTGAGCTCCCTGTGAACAG